TGTTGATGGACACACAATGTTTTTATTTACTTTTATGTGGTGCTGAGGATTGAACCCAGTGCTTCACACATGCAAGGCAAGCGCTTTACCACTGAGTTACAGCCCCAGCCCATTACAGAATCTCTTAATTAAGTAGCTACTTGGGGAAAGAGTAAATTTTAAAGAAAGTCATTAGCAATTTTAAAGGGTATGGCTGAAAATACCTCATGGGGAGATTTAGGGAGAACTTGAAAGTACTGTATGTACATACGTCAACTTCTCTGTCATAAGATATATTATTCACTATATTGGCTTTTCCATAAACATGTGATTCTTAATAGAAACCCTCTGACTTTGAGGAGGAATGAATTTTAGAAACCAGCCACCAGACCAACCTAAAAGGCTGAGTGTGTTGGCAACAAGTGTTTTCCAAGGACCCTCCTCAAGGCCCCCATGATCTCCTTATTCCTCAGGCTATAGATGAGAGGGTTCAGGGCTGGAGTGACAATTGTGTAGAAAACAGAGATGATGTTGTCTTGTTTGGGACTGTGGAAGGAACTGGGCAGGACATACATGAATGTGGCAGCCCCATAGAACATCCCAACCACAGTCAGATGGGAAGAGCAGGTAAGGAGAGCTTTCTTTTTCCCCTCATTGGAGGGCATGTGGAGCACAGTGAACAGAATTAGTGTGTAGGAAGCCAAGATAACAGCAAGAGGGGGGATTAGGAAGGTTATGCCCATCACATAAACCATAAGCTCATATCTGGAGGTATCTGTACAGGTCAACTTCAGCAAGGGTGGAATTTCACAGAGCAGATGCTTGATCTGGGCTTTGCAGTAGGGATAGTGCATGGTATACACAGTATATCCTAGGGCACTTAGGGAGGCCAGGATCCAGGATGTGGCCACCATGAGCCAGCAGACCCTTGGCCTCATGAAGATCATGTAGTTCAGAGGATGACAAATGGCCACATACCTGTCATAAGCCATGAAGGCCAGGAGGAGGTCCTCTGCACCACCCAGGGTCAGTGCTAGGAACATCTGAAGGGCACAGCCTCCAAAGGAGATATTGTTTTCTCTGCGAAGATAATCCAGGAGGGTTTTAGGAGTGACAACCGATGTGAACAGGAGGTCCATGAGAGAGAGCTGCCTGAGCAAGAGGTACATGGGCACATGGAGCCGGACGTCCATTGTGACGACCAGAAGCAGCAGTCCATTGCTTGCGAGGGCCAAAATGTACAGGAAAGTGATCATGGCACAGAGCAGATCAGGAGCCCCGCTGTCATTCAGAATCCCCACCAAGATGAAGCTGCTTCCCCAGGTGGAGGAGTTCCAGAGCTCCATTATGCGTGATTGCTTTAGTTGCTTAGAACCAGATGTATTCTCAGTGAGGTTTTGCCAAGATGAACCCTAGACTTGTAATGTCTCAAGCCCCTTAGGATACTGGGAGAACTAGAAATACAACAGCGGAAGCCCTCCCCTGGAAGATGAGGGTTGAATATTGTAATTAGGCCCACTAATTCTCTGCCCTCTCCTGCTATTGACTCTGACATTCACTCTCCCTTCTGAAAATCCAGAGCATTTGCACTGGATAGAAGGGGCACAGGGACAGTGAGGAAGAGCTCCCTTTCTGAAACCTGTCTTTCATACATGGAATCCACTCCCAGGGAGAAACCAATAGAAGCCTTAGATTGACAGGTGTCAGTACTGTGCCCATAGAATGGGATAAAGAAAACTAATTCACTGCATGCAGTTAAATATTTGAAAGTGAACCAACATTCTGTCAATCATTTAGCTGCCTCATGGCATATATGTGGTAAAACTTCATTGTTTGCCCTGATATCTTCTGGGGCTCTTAGTTCTTAATAGTTAAAAGATATGAGAACATCCAACAAGATTATCATCCGTTGTTTGCTGGCCCTTTGTGGAGGCATGCATCCTCTGATACATGCAAAAAAATGGCCAGAGGCCAGCAGCAACCACAGGGTCTAAAGACAGGTTTTGATAATCCTACCAAGGAAGCAAATACTCAGGCCTGGGCTAGAGCACAGAGTAGCAATCCTAACTAGTTCTCTATTCATGTTCAGGAAATCAAAAATGCAAAGATTGGGATGGGCAATGAAGCACAAAGCATGAGAGAATCTGGCAGACAGAGTAGTTTACATTCTTAGGGTTTGCTTTCAACTCTCTTTTTTGACTCAATGTACTTAGAAGCTATATATACATATTTCTCTGAAAGTGAGAAAAAGCCTTTACCTCCAGCTGTGAGAAACCTCCCTGCCTAACCTCCCAAACTCCTCTGGGATTGTTTAAAGGGTGATAAGATGCCAGTAGAAATGGGGAGGTAGGATGTGACTTTCTTCAGCAGTGTTTGTTGGTTGAAGTTTTGCTGAGTTGGTTAAGTATCTTTGATATTTATTCCAGACCAGGTGTCAGGATGCTTCTGTCCCTTCCTCTCATCTGCAGATCTGTGAAGATGACAGTGGATACAGTGGCAGCTAATGCAGTCTTTGAGTAGTTTCCTGTGGCTTTCCTGCTTTCACACCTGAAAAGAATTAGTAGAAACTCCTCCTGTCATACAGGTTTCTGGGGAGGGAGGCCCTCTACCTGGTGGTAATGGTCAGACTGAGTTCTTGGTTCCAGATCACCAGACCCTTCTTTCTTCCTGTTGGCATCTGGGAGTGAAGATGGAAGCTGTGGGGCTGTGGAGGAGCAGATAATGGAAGAGCTGCCCAAAGGAGACCTTGCCATGCCAATTTCACTGTCCCTTGGGCCAGCAGTGAGCCAGGGCCATGTTCTAGAAGAGGCTGATTTTATTTTTCTCCCTTTACTCTGTCCTACGTCTATCTTCAGAGGGACTTAACCTGTCAGCTGAAATGTCCTCCCCTGAAAATGTTGATCCTGGAAATAGGCTGTTAATGAATCCTCTTGGGTATATTTCTTGAATTGGTATTCTGCATTCTCTCCTCATTAAATGAATCTGAGGCCCTAAGTTTCTACTCAATCCTAAGGGAGACACTGATGATCCACTTCTAAATTTCTTCCTGATTAAACCAGGAAGCAAAGGCTTCTTGTGTGGCCAGAGCTTTGCCTCAGAGCAAAAGGCATTTTCCTGCCTCTGTGGGATGCTGGTTCCCTTCCTCATGGCCCTCTTCACCTGGACTACTTCCCTTCCCATATGACTGCTCTGTGTGGAGAGTGTAGACATGAAATCTTCTCTTCACTGACCTCTCCAACCCCATAGATCTTACCTGTGTCCACATGTCTTGGTGTTACAGTTACTTGTCTGTCACCAATGATGTGAGAAGAGAGAGCTCAATTTTCCAAGTATTGAACATAAAATAAAGAGAAGTCCATAGAGTACTGAAGTTGTAGAGGTCAATATTTCTTAAAGTCTTTTAAATGCTATCAGAGATAAAAGACTACCCATTAATCCAATATACTTAGATGACAGTAAACTATGAATGGTGTTAATAGGATAAGAGAGAAATACAATTTAAAATGCTGAGGAAATATAACTTTACAGGTAGAATTCCATATGAAACAGAACCATCATTAATGAACGAGGATGAATTAAAAACAACAACAAAAATAATTTTCCTTCAAGGATCCCCCAAAATAATTTTGGCAGTTGGCATAGTAACATCAAAGGAATATATGCAATGCAGGAAGCAATGGTGAGCTCAAAAATTGATCTAGTATTGAGTTAGGAAGCTTAATTCTTGAACAATGATAAATACATTTGTGACTTTTCAAAAGGTAAAATGAAATTTTTTTCCACAAGAACAATAACATGGGAGTGGTATTTTTTCCCCCATGTTTGTTTAATAAAGGCTAAAGAGGCAGAGTATTAACAGCCATAAATTCATTCATTTGAAATTATCATTATTATTTTTTATTTTTAAATAAGGTACAATTTAAATACAGTAAGATCAATCTTTCTTTAAATGTTTTTGTTTAGTTTATGACAATTATACATAATAGTGGATTTGATTTTGACATAGTCATTCACACATGGAGTATAATTTGCTCTATTTCAACCTGGATATTAAACCCCTATTGGAGGAGTAGCTAACAGATTTTCTCCCATTCTGTAGACTCTCTCCTAATGCTTTTGTTTCCTTTGCTGGGAAGAAGCTTTTTAATTTGATGCCCTTCCCACTTATTCATTCTTGACTTTATTTCTTGAGTTTTCGGAGTCTTGTTAAGGAAGTTGGTGTCTGTGCCAATATGTTGGAGTATTCAGCTTTTGTTGTCTTTTAGCAGTTGCAAAATTTGTGGTCTAATTGCTAGTACTTTGTTTTACTTTGATTTGTTTTGTGCAGGATGAGAGATAGAGATCTAGTTTTATTCTTCTATAAATGAATATCCAGGTTTCCCATTTGTGAGAAAGGTTATTTTTTCAACCTATATATTGGCACCATTGAACAGCAAGAACCAACTACATCATCCATCATATTGTTCACCAAAAAAAAAATGGTGGGGGATGAGACTATATAAACTAAATAGTTCTAATGGGCAGTAAAATTATAGTACCTTAAGTGAAGAGAAAATAGGGAATTGCAAGAGAAACTTGAAATATTTAAAAAGTGAACAGAGGGGAAACGGGAGAGAATAGCTGATGGCTATAAAGATGATTAAAAAATAACTAAAAGTAATAAATTGAGGAAGAGGGAAAAAGGTAATTTGGGTTGTTAGAGAAGGTAAAAAGTGAATAAGAAGTAAAAAGAGTAACGAAAACAAAGGTAAGAACAATTAAATGAATAAAATTTCAAATTAAAACAATCCTTGAAATTTATAACCCTAAACCTCAAAGTCAAAACTATGGGGGGAAAAAAACTAGGCTAAATACATGGGTGAGTAAAAATTGATTAAAAAGAGAAAAATTACACACAACCATGCACACACATACAAATTCACGAACCTATCAGTACAGCAAGAAGATAGAGAGAAAGAGACTAGAGAGAAAAATAATTTTAAAAAAAATTTTAAAAAGGTATACAACTAGGAAAAATAATCTTAATGAAAAATGAAAAGCTTGTTTCCATTGTGGTCAAAACTATTGACAAGGATGTATGTTCATGAATATCCTGTCACATCCTTCTTTGCATTTCCTTTTGGCCTATATACCCTATGGATCAAGAGCTAGGATTATTAAATCCAAACACTTTGTGTTTCACACCAAGTTGCTATTTGCTGTGGCCTGGAACAGAAGCTGGTTGGAGTAGCTCTCAGCTTCTACAACAGTATGTGGAAGAACTGCTTCTCACGGTATCTGGGAAGCACTGACAAGCAGAATTTTGTCTGGACCACTAAGTTGGTGCATTCCTAGAGCTGAGCTAATGTAGAGTTCTACATGAGAAGTTCAAGAACTGGGGTTTTAGTTCTGACTATCCTTTGGAACTTTGTCTGGAGGTATTTACCTCTGTTGCTGGGCAGATGCTGATCTCTGCTGGAAGTGTGGGTCTCATAAAGTTCTGGCATATTCCCCTCATATTGTGCAGATCTCACCTTATAAGTCATCACATACTTTACCATCATGAATGTGGATTTCCCAGGATGAGACTTGGAATGCAGAAGTGCCTATTTTACCAGTTTTGGCTTCTCCCCAGCTGGTTTCCTGGGCCACCAGAAACAAAGAGAACACAAGCTTCTCTCCCCTCTGTATCACCTGGGAACAATCATCTTTGTGCCTGTTTCAGTCAGACTGGACCAAGCACACTCTAATCCTGTTTGTTGGGGGAGACTGGCAATGCTTTCTTAAACTCCGGAGTTCTGCCGCTGAAAGCTGCCTTGTGGGTACTTGCACATGACTCCCACCTTACTCTCCACTTGCCCAGCAAGACATTCTAAGTGCTTTTCAATCATGAACTCGCCCTGTCCTGTCTGGGTTATTTAAGATCAGCCTCCCTTTCTGTTCCACAGGTTTTCACATGACAAATTTGTTCATGGTGCTTTCCATTTCCTCTCTCTCTCCTCTACAGTAAAATGGTGGTACTAATGCAAGCACCACCAACAAAACTGGTTCACCTTTACTGTATTTCTTCTTGTTCTCTGCTTAAAGCTTCTGACTTTCTGTGACTCTGTGATTAGTTTACCAACCAATATTAAATTCAGTGGATTCCCTTAATTGCCCACCTAGCTGAGAGGCAATACTCTTGAAGCTTTAATCTCAACCTGTGGAGCAACTGGAAAGTGCTCCCTTTGTCTAATCCACCATTTTCACATTCCTCACTAATCCTTTTTTTTAATATATTCTTTTGCAACTTTTGATCAATGAATATAATCATGTACACACCACCAAAGTCAAGATATTAACCACCAAAGTTTTGTCAACTGCTCAAATGCTCTAGTGCCCTTTCATAATCATTCTCTCCCTTCACCGCCAGGTATCTGATCTGTTTACTGTCAGTATTATTGTGAGCTTTTCAGAGTGCTTCTTTCACAGAGTGTAATATGTTTGAGATCCATCATTCTCTTTGTGTTTATTAGAAGTGCTTTCCCATTAATACTAAGTAGTACCCAACTGTATGAATGCATCATAGTTTGTTTATCCACTCAAAAAAGAATGGCCATTTGTCATTTTACAATTTATTTATTTATTTTAATTAGGTATATATGACAGCAAAATGCATTTTGATTCATCATATACAACTGCAGCACAACTTTTCATTTCTATGGTTGTACACCATGTAGCATCGTACCATACGTGCAGTGTTACCTGTACCTAGGGGTAATGATATCCATCTCATTCCACCATCTTTTCTGTCCCCATGCACCTTCCTGACCCTCCCTCTCCTTTGCCCAATCAAAGTTTCTCCATTTTCTCATGCCTCCCCCCTCATTTTGGATCAATATCCACTTATCAGAAAGAATATTTGGCCTTTGTATTTTGGGGATTGGCTTATTTCACTTAACGTGATATTCTCCAACTCCATCCATTTACCTGAAAATGCCACAATTTTATTCTCTTTTGATGCTGAGTAATATTCCATTGTGTATATATACCACAGTTTCTTTTTCCATTCATCTGTTGAAGGGCATCTAGGTTGCTTCCAGAGTTTAGCTATTTTGAAGTGAGCTGCTAAGAACATTGATGAGGCTGCATTACTACAGTATATATGACTGTATACAGTATGCTGATTTTAAGTCCTTTGAGTATAGACCCAGGAGTGTGATAGTTGGGTCAAATGATGGTTCCACTCCAAGTTTTCTAAGGAATCTCCATACTGCTTTACAGATTGGTTGCACCAATTTGCAGTCCCACCAGCAATGTAGGAGTGTTCCTTTTCCCCCACATCCTTACCAACATTTATTGTTGTTTGTATTCTTGATAACTGCCATTCTGACTGGTATGAGATAAAATCTTAGAGTAATTTTGATTTGTATTTCTCTAATTACTAGAGATGTTGAAAATTTTTATATATTTATTGATTGAATGTATATCTTCTTGTGAGACATGTCTGTTCAGCTCCTTAGCCCATTTATTGATTGGGTTATCTTTTTTTTTTTTTTGGTGTTAAGTGTTTTGAGTTCTTTATATATCCTGGAGATTAATGCTCTGACATGTGTGTGGCAAAAATTTGCTCCCAAAATGTAGGCTCTCTGTTCACCTCATTGATTATTTCTTTTCTGAGAAGAAGCTTTTTAGTTTGAGTCTATCTCATTTATTAATTCTTGATTTTATTTCTTGCACTTTAGGAGTCATGTTAAGGAATTTAGAGCCTAGTCCAACATGATGAAGATTTGGGCCTACTTTTTCCTCCAGTAGGTGCAGGACCTTGATCCACTTTGAGTTGAGTTTTGTGCATGGTGAGAGATAGGGGTTTATTTTCATTTTGCTCCATATGGATTTCAGTTCTTCCAGCACCATTTATTGAATAGGCTATCTTTTCTCCAATGTATGTTTTTGGTGCCTTTGTCTAGTATGAAAAAATATGGAATGCTTCACAAACTTACACGTAATCCTTGCACAGGGTCCATGCTAATCTCTGTATCATTCCAATTTTAGTATATGTGCTGTTGAAGTGAGCATTTAAAATTTATTGATTATGAAAAGAGCCATTAAACATTTGTAATATAAATTGCCCATTCACTTAGGTAAAGAACCCAACATAAACAACTTGGGATATGGTATGGACATGTTTAGGTTTATAAGAAATTGCCAAACTATTTTCCATAAAAGTGGTGAGCTCATAGATGTGGAGAGTAGAAGGGTAGTTACCAGGGACCAGTGGGAGGGCAAGGAATGTGTGTGAAAATGTTGGTCCCGGGATACAAAATTTTAGTTAGATAGAAGGAAGAAGTTCAAGAGCTCAATCATATAGTATAGTATTTTAATGTTCTTATCACAAAAATGATAAATATGTGAGGCAATGGAAATGTTAATGAGCTCAGTTCAGCAAATCTACAGTGTATACATTTATCAATTCCTCATGGAGACTATAATCAATATAAACTTTTACTTTTCAAGTAAAACAAATTTAAAAAAAAGGTATAATAAGCACATCAGACAGAGCACTAATTTCTAAGATATATAAAGCACTCAAAAACATTAACACCAAAAAAACAAATAACTTAATCAATAAATGTGCCAAGGACCTGAACAGACACTTCTCAGAAGAGGATATACAATCAATCAATAAACATATGAAAAAATGTTCAACATTTCTAGCAATTAGGGAAATGCAAATCAAAACTACTCTAAGATTTCATCTCACTCCAGTCAGAATGGCATCTATCAAGAATATAAACAACAATAAGTGTTGGCAAGGATTTGGGGAAAAAGGTATACTCATACATCACTGGCAGGATTGCAAATTGGTGCAATCAATCTGGAAAGCAGTATGGAGAGTCCTTGGAAAACTGGGAATGGAACCACCATTTGACCCAGCTATCCCACTCCTTGTTCTATACCCAAAGGACTTTAAAACAGCATACTACAGAAACACATCCACATCAAAGTTTATAGCAGCACAATTCACAATAGCTGAATTGTGGAACCAACCCAGATGCCCTTCAGTAGATAAATGGATAGGGAAACTTTGGTGATTATATACACATGGAACAGTACTCAGCATTAAAAGCGAATAAAATCATGGCATTTTTAGGTAAATGGATGGAGTTGGGGAATATAATGCTAACTAAAGCAAGCCAATCCCCAAAAAACAAAGACCAAATGTTTTCTTTGATATGAGGATGTAGACTCATAAGGGCGATGGGTGGCGGGGAAGCATGGGAGGAATGAAGGAACTTTGGATTGGACAAAGGGGAAGGAGGGGGGAAGGAAGGACCAAGTGGATAGGAATGCTGGTGAAATGAGTTGGACATCATTACCCTAAGTACATATATGAAGACACAAATGGTGTGAAAATACGTGTGTACAATCAGTGACTTAAAAAAATTGTGCTCTATATGTGTAATATGAAATGAATTGCATTCTGCCATCATGTGTAACAAATTGGAATAAATAAATAATTTAATTAAAAATATACTTAAATAAAAATAAAGAAAAATAAGTGGGTTAAAAAAAGACAGGGGTTTAGGCCTTCTGGTTCTCTTGTTTGATTTCTGTATAGTCTCCCTTTGTGTTAATATTAACCTATTCTTCTGTTGGTGGGCAGAAGTGTTGTTTCCATTTTTGTTCTATAATGAAAAGTCCTGCTCTATTTTACCTATGAAAAACTTCCTCCAATAGTTTTGATATAAAATGTTCCCTTAATTCCATGTGTTAAGTGTTTGGTCCCTCAGTCCTACCCTTAAGATGTAGGCCCTACAGGGTGTACCTTAGGTAATTGTTAGTGTGCTCTTGAGGGGGATTTTGGCCTCTTTCTCACTATTCTTTACTTCCTGGCCATAACATGAGTAGTTTTTCCCTGTTGCACACACCACTCTATTGCTATTCAGCACACCCAACAGAGCCCCAAAGCAAGAATCAGCCCAGACCTGGACTGAAACTCCAAAATAAAACTTTTCTCTTTGTAACTTAATTTTTTTTTAGTTATTTCATCATTGGGATGAGATGCTAACCAATATGTCTCCTTATGAGTGTGTTACTTTTATACATGCTATATTTCTTTTGTTGTGCAATAGTTTCTAGGGTTTATTCTTTTTATACTGAAAAAATAAATATTTGATTTTAACTTTTTTGAAATTGAAAGTAAATGGAGTGAAAACTCTAGCAGTCTTTCCCAATATTACTAGTGAAATGAGTGACTAAGGAATTAAAACTGAGGAGGATGAAGCAAAGGTTTGGGTGAGAGATGAGAAATGCCTGAACCAAAACCACGATGGTGGAGCCCAGTGCTGTGTCCTCATCCCTCTGAGCAGCTGAGCCCACTGGGCAGAGAACACATAGGCACATGCTCATGTGCACATGCATGAGAGAGGGTGGAAATGAGAAAGAAATAGAAAAGCATATGAAGATCCAATAAATCACTGTAGAATGCTAACTAAGGTCAGTGAAGGAAGATCTGATGTTAGTATTGTTAACTCCCTCCAGCTGGTAATAGCCCAGACAAGGGCCTCATAGAGGGAGATGGAGAGTGGTAGCCCTTCCAGAAGCCAGGGGATACACTCTATGATTTGGACAGAAGAAAGAATAGGGGTTACTTGCTTCTTGGACCAGTTCTGGACACCATCTACTCAGTCAGGCACAGTCTCAGCAAGACCTCACGGGGAAGAACAAGTCCTCAGGCTTCAGAGCCCATAATCAGTGAAATGTTGGGCCAAGAGACATGCCCAAGAGGATTCATTAAAATCCAGTTTCCTGGAGTGGCATTTTCAGGGGAGGACATGTCACTTGAGAGGAAGAGACTCTAATATGTCCCCCAGGACAGGCCAGAGCTCACAATTGCCCAAGGAAGAGTGGGGCTAGCCAATAGTGGGTCTCTTTTGAGTAGCTCCTCCCATATCTCCCCGTTATGAATCCCAACAAGAGAGGAACATATGAAAATATGAGGATAGGGACTCAAGAATTCAGCCCAAATCACTGCATGACTGTGAAGCACTTTCTCACAAGGAGAGTGGATGGGAGCCTTCCTAAGGGATTCAGTTCCTTACGTCCCCGGGATCCTGCCCAAGGTTCTCAGCTGCCTGTCTGCATCTGTCTCTTTCCCCAGGAAAGAGAGTTAATGACAGTGACCATTAAGAGCCTTTGACCCCTGGTCCCAGTCACGATCATACACATACCTATATCCCATCCTACCAGAAGAACCACCTCCTCTTTCTTCATCATCTTGACCTTCTGGAACCCATAAGTGAATCCCAGGATCCTTGCTGAGGTCTAGCAGTGGTATTTTTCCTCAACGAGGTAAGGACTCTCTCTCTGTTTCTAGGCAGTAGACCCTCTAAGTCTTGAGAAACAGAATCAAGATGGTATATACTCTTCAGCTCAGACTCTCTAGTGCCTTAGGCTTTACAGCTCATTCACTCCTGTCTGTTCAAGGTGACTTTAGGCACTTTGAACATGTTGGAACTTTTGCAATCATTTAGTGCCACTGGCCAGTACAGAGCCTCTAGAATTCCTGATGCTGGCTTCCCAATAATATTCTCAGTACTTACCCTTGGTGCACCTGATTTTCCTGGACTCTAGTAGTCTGATGAGGTCCCCCAAAGGAAAGCACCTTCAAAGACGAATACCTAATATCAGCTGAAGTTTCTCTTGAACATGCCACAGAAATCCAACTAAAGTCAGTAAAAATGTTTAAATATACTGATCAATGACAGAGAAAAAACTTATAAAAATAAGCTTCTAAGCTTTAGCATTATCTGAATGGACTGACCATCTACAATGGTCCTCTATTCATCTCAGCCTCTGCTGACTGACTGCTCTTGGTTTGAGGTACCCATATATTTCTAGCAATTTTCCAGAGAGGAGTCCTTCCTTTGTTGGTCCAGTTGGTGCTCCCTGGCCTTTCTCCTTAGAGATCTATAGACATGAGAAACCAGTGAATGGAAAAGGAGAGAAAGCAAGAGTCCTGAAACAGAGAGAGGCGGCATGTAGGTAGGAATCTGGAGGCCTGGCGACACCTCCTTAACAAAACCCTGCTTTTTTCCTCCTCTTTGAAATCTCTCCCTATATTGGCCCAGAGATCTGGAGAAATGTGCCCAATTATTTCTTTCCCTTTATTTCTCTATCCTTTCATCATTTTATTCAAGAAAATTAAGAGCATTTCAAGTCTCATAATTACTAGCAATCGTGCCCAGAATTGTCCTTAAATATCTTTTTTTTTTTTTTTTGGTTGCTGTTCATAGGCAGTATTCCAATCAATGTTTTCCAGGTAGTCGTGTAGTTTTGGTTTCATGAAGCAGCAGGAATATCCTAAACCCCAATGGAGGGTGAGGCTTCACTTTAAGGAGTGTGTTTCTCTGAAGGTCTCCTTGCTTAGCGATCCTTATGGCAAAATTGCAGGAAGAACATCACTGTACTGTATGTCAGTGTCCTGACTTTTACAGCACTATCTGCTCTCTTTTTGTTATGTCCTGTTTTTGACCTTGCCAGTTTCTATTCATTCTCAACCTGTAGCTTGTACCCATTTTATTGGGGAATCCTTTTGTGAAACCTCCCTTATTTGTTGTGAAGTATGTCATATTTCCCTTCACATATTGGTCATTGCCATTGGGTGAGGTAGGTGTTTTTGTGATTAGTTTTCACATCTATGCTACCACCCTAGCATCAAGTGTGGTACTGGATACATCAGAGTTCCTTAGCAAATATCCACTTGTGTAAATGAAAGGGACTGGATCATATGGGTCTCCTGATATCAAGTTTTTATGATCCCAAGTCTGAGATACTGAGAGTGTTGACGTAAAGAAAGATAGGAGCTGGTGGAGATATTACAAGGGAGAGATGATGAACTTTTTGTTAAAATTTTCTCTTCTCTTCCAGAGTGTCTTCTATATACTCCACCTAACTGTGAAAGATCTGCATTCATAAAGTGCATGCTGAGTGGATACCATCAGCCCCATTCAAAACATTCCTCCTCAGTCCCTTCCATTGGTAGTATCATATGGATTCAGGACTCAGCAAGGCCA